GCACACACCCTGTCACTGGCACCAGCAACTCACAAATGCAGTCACCCACGCAGACACAGTTGCACACACAGTTACACACACACACACACACAGTTGCACACACAAACACACAGTTACACACACACAGTTGCATAAATACACACACACACAGTTGCACACACACACACACTGTTTGGCTGGAGCGGTTGTCGTAAGCGGGAAGGAAGGGTGTTGAGTCTGTCAAGTATTTGGAGACGGCCGCAGTCTCCTTTGTGATGTCATCCAGCGCCTTTGTCAACTCGTCTCTGGAAGCATCGGTGCTGAGCGCTTCAAGCTTCGTTCGAAGCTCTGAACAGTCGAATCGAAACAACATCAAGGGGGACACGCATGTGAGGTGTCAGGTGTACACTGTGACTGCCTGGAGGTGCAAACAAGCTATAATCAGCCAGCACGCGTGCATGGACATGCATGTGCATACATGTGTATGTGCGTGTGCGTGTGTGTGTGTGTGTACCTTGCAGCTTCCCGCGGAACGTGGTGAAGAACTCCTTTCCAACCTCGCCACTCATCGTGCGAACGTGTTGTGGTGAACGTGGTGTGTGGTTGCCGTTTGTCGTTTGCTGGCTGGCTGGTGGCAAGTCCTGAACATTTGTTGGTAACATCGCCAATTATCGGCCAACACAGCACTCAGCGCACAACAGCTGCTAAACACACACACACACACACACACACACACACACACACACACACACACACACACACACACACACACACACACACAACCATGGCTGATGATGACATGGACCACATCACGCTGCCGCCAGCCACGGGGCCTAGCAGCAGCAGTCACACCCATGGCGGTGTTCCTGACGAGATTGACCCTCTTCTGGCAGAGGATGATGGGGATGATGTGGAAGAAGACAACGACTTCGACGACGATGATGATGACGATGACGATGATGAGTTTGATGAAGGCGGGGACGACGATAACGATGAAGACTACGTCAACGACGAGACAGCAGCCAGCGACGACGATGATATTGTGGAAGAGGTGTCCACGCCGCGTCGCAAGCGCGCCAAGCGGCAGAGTTCATCGCGACGGTCAATTGGCAGCAACAGCGCAGGTGCAGCAGCAGCAGCAGCAGCTTCTTCCTCAACCCACGCGCATGGCATGCCCAATCCAAGTGGTGGCCGCTTGCGCTTCACGGACTTGGAGCTGAGCCTGCGCACAGAAGACGTCCTCGACGACCGCCACCACCGCCCCGCTGACATGGAGAAGATGATTGCACACACACAAAAGCGGCGGTTTAAGAAGCGAGGCGTGCGCTCCCGCAAGAACGCCCTTCCCTCGCGTTTCATCAACGTCATGGGCGAAGCTAACAAAGCTTACACCCGCCAGGTATCGTGTGTGTGTGTGTGTTGATGCTTGAATGGATGTGTGTGTGTGTGTGTGGGTTTAAGTTGTTGCTCGTTGGGGTGCTTTGTGTCGTTGATCGCGCAGTTGTTCAGCATCGTGACTGCGTTCATCTTGTCGTCTTCGCCGCGCTGATCTGCTATCTCGGTTGTCACGATTGACCCATAGGCATACGACGTTGCCAAGCGGCTGTGCCAGCAAGTGGTTGACGCTGCTCCGGACTGTCCTGACCCATACGACACACTCGCTCTCGTACGTGTCAACGCCATCATGGATAGTTGCGATGATGTCTCACACTGAGTTGCACTCTTCTGTTACGTGTGCTGAAGCGCGCTTGCCTGCAACACACACACACATACACATGCACAGAGCACTCACAACACGCACACAACCACACATTTCCTTGTCAGGTGTGCGAGGAAGTTGGAGACAAGCCGAAGTGCTTTGAGTACCGCAAGAAAGCGGCGAGCTGCCGACCCATGCGCGACGTCAACTGGATGGAGTGCGTACACACACACACACACACACACACGCACACGCACACACACACACACACACGCACACACACGCACACACGCACATTTGTTTGCTGACAGCCACATGCATCCACCACCACCGATGGAATGCAGGCTGGCTGGACTTGCGATGGAGATTGGGCGCGACACTGAGGCATCACGTCTTCTGCAGCGTGCACACAAGCTCCACCCAGACCATCTGGTACTGTGCCTTCATCGTATATGGGCGTGGTTTATTGTGTGCATGGTTCATTGCGTGTGCACGTGTGTGTGTGTGTGTCGTGTGGAAGTGGAATGTGGACGTGTCTGTAAGCGACTGACGGCTACTCACCATGCACCACCACCACCACTGCAGCCGACATTGGAGGCGATGATGGCGGTGGCGGAGAAGCAGGGAAAGACGTTCCAGGTTGTTCGCTACTGCGGCAAATACATCAGCAAATGCGGACCAAACGTCCAGGTGAGGAGAGGTGGGCGGGGTGCGTGTGTGTGTGCGTGTGTGTGTGTGTGTTTGGGGGCGGGGTAAGGATTAAGGAAGCATTAAGGTGGTTGGGAGCCAGAGAGAACATGCGTGTGTATGTGTGAGAGTGTG